TCATATGACATATATTATTCATCTTAGATTATAAACATTCTTTCGACGGGTGTGAGTGTGATGAGAAGCTTTACACCTACACCTACACCCACACCCACACCCACCACCCACCCACCCACACCCACACCGACACCCACACCCACACCCACACCCACACCCACACCTACATACCCACACCCATACACACCACCCACCCACACACACCCACACCCACACACCCACACACTCACACCCACACCCCACACCCACACCCACACCCCACACACCCTTCTAAACTTATTTTCATCTAAATATCAACATACGTAATTCATTATCTTCGTTATATCCATATGGAAAATAAAAATATAAAAAGTCATATCAAAAGTCGCTCATTCATTCACTAACGTAAATTTACTAATAATCTTGTCGTCGATTTTTAATATCGATCTAAGCATTTCATTACGACGATTTCGAATATGTTCTTCATAGTAAAACATATCCATTTCCAATTGAGAATCAATCTTAATTATGATCTATATTGTCGAAATCTTGGCATCAATCGATCTACTTTCATAATGGTCGTATATATTGAAATAAAAAAGTATTGAATTTCATTTTTTTTCTTTTATTTGACTAATAAGCATTCTATTTCTGATTTAATCGATAGTCAAAAATATATTATATATGAACAAAAAACAAAAGAAAAAAAGCTGAATTTGAATTATAGTAAATAACAAAATATAAATTTTAAACACATTTGATGCACAAAAAGTTTTCAATGATCGAAATAAAACTTGATGAAATATGAAATACAATTTAATGAGTAACATGATGTAATTTTCATCTTGTACATTTATGCTATAAACGTATACGAATGTCATCTCTATTAAATGTTAAATCATTTTGTTTCAATCGAATCAAAGAATTTTTCAACTGTTAATTGTCAATCAACTAATTCATGTTAATAAGTTTATTTTAAGGATACTCAATTGATTAAAATAAAATTTTCCCTGACATCTTACGTAGACACTTCATCCCTTGCAATTATTTCTTTAAGGCAGATAATTTTGATTTTTCATTGTATTATTAGCACCGATTTGAATACCATTCATTGATGATGATTGATTTCTAAATGAAAAAAGAAATTATTATCTTGAAGTGGAACTTAGCAAAGTGATATACCATCGTTTCGGTATAGAAAGTGGATTAATAGTACGTGTCCATAGCATCATCATCTTGTATTTGTGATTTACGTATATATTTCTTATGTTTTTCTTTCTAACATCGAGAAAATCAATATTTGATTTGCAAAAAACAAATAAAAGATAAACAGTAAACCGTTTTAAATAAAACACATTGAATAAGATCAATAGGAACTTCATTGTTTTCTGCATCGACTTTGTTTTTGTATATACGACATCTTGTATGAGTTCTTGTTATAAACGTTTCAGATTTTCTAATCATCGACCAGCTATTCATCGTGAAACTAAAAGTAATTTTCTTTGTTTTATTAAATCAAAATAGTAAATGCCTTAATCTGACTAAAACTTGATTATTTGTTTGAAATGAATTTTAATGTCTTAAATGTGTATCTTCAAAAATTCAGCTAGATGCTTCTTAAATCTATTAAAGTTTTAATAGTTTAACAAAATGAATATTGGTTTTTTGTTGTTTGTTTTTATATATCATAAATAAACAATTAATCAATATTAATGCATAAGAATAATATGACCAAATGAAGTATTTCAATGATATCCTATAGATGGAATTTATTTTAGAACATTTGTTTTTGATCTCATTTAAATATACTTTATAACATTAACCACTTAATGAACCATTCTTTTTTCATATCATTCATTAATACTTTTAATTCAATCTTTTCAGGATGTGGTGATAATAATATGAATAAATAATTGATTTGGCTTATTTGAACGTAGACAATATTAATACAACCAAATTATATTTTACAGTTTATGATAATTAGATATTAGCTTGACCAACAATAATTCAACTGAGTGTGGGTGTGGGTGGGTGTGGCTGTGGCTGTGGCTGTGGCTGTCGGTGGATGTGGGTGTGCTTAAAGAATATATACGCATACACAGCCACACCCACCCACACCCACACCCACACCCACACCCACACCCACACCCACACCCACACCCACACCCTAATAGTGTAAGTTTCGAAAGACGTGAAATATTTACTTACGAAAGAAAGAAATAACTGTAAGGATCGTAATGATTCACTCAAAGATATGTGCGAGATGGATGATTGGAAACAACCAATCTACTTCGTCGTTTAGCATTTGCCTTCGCTTTTTTTAAAATACTGATACTTCCAATAGATGGCGTAGTTTTATGCAAATGATATAAATTGCTAACTTTTGTTAGACTAGACATGAAAGTTTGTTTTCGTTTTCTTAAATTGAATTATTTCTGCTTTCTCTACAATCTCTAATCTTATTTCAATCTATCAAAAGTCGACAAACAATTTATTCATTTTTTTTTATATAATTCTAAAACATTTAAAGATGACTTTGATCATATAATAACTTTACATACAAGGAAATAAATAATTCTCTTAATTCATTTAATACAAAAAGAAAAAAAAACTCAAAGAATAACCAATGGAGGTTGATTAATTGTACTAGAAATTGATATAGTTGTAGTTGATTGAGATTTAATTCTATTAAAATAATGTTGTTGAATCATTCGTTTTAATCGATTTCTTTCAATTGATGATTGTTGTCCATATTTATAAGCTAAATATAGTTTTTCATTTAATTCTTGTTGATTTTCTTGAATGAATATACGATTTAATAAATTAAAATCTTCTGTTGCTGAATCTGAATAAGGTATTATTGAACATTGTTGAAAAAATTTTGCACGTTGTCGATATTGGTTTGTTTTAGCTAAATGTTCTTTACGTTGTTGTCGTGTCCAATATTTACCTTGTTTTAATTCACTCATTGGTTTATCATCTGTTGTTTGATATTGTTCTTTTAAACGTTGTTCACGACAACGACGTCGAAAATGTTTTAATGTCCATTGATTATGATTATTATTGTAATGAGAATGATATGAATCAATTGATTTTGATCGACTACTACCACTATCATTTCGACGTTTAACAATTAAATTTTGTTGTGATTGATTATTAAATGGTAATGGTTTAAGTATAATTTGTTCATTATCTGTTGTTATTTCCAAAAGACTTTGAGAACGAATTAAAGGTTTTTTATATTGAATTTGTTTTTCTTCATGTTTTATACATGATCTTAAATCATTTAATGATAAACAACGACTATATTGAAATTGATCTGTATAAGATTGTATACGACGACAATATAAACTATTATTATTTAATGTAGATGATGATAAACTAATACAGCTTTTTATTAAATTATTACATTCATTTGAAGATTTCTAAATATAGATCAACAAAATAATTTTTTTTTTGAAAAAAAATAAAATTTTCATACTTGATTTGTTGTTTCAATATCTGTATTACAAGCAAGAACAACACCATTATCATCTTCAGTTAATGGTATTGACTGAATTATTGGTAGACAATTAACTTGAAAACGAACAATTTGTAAAAGAATATGGCAAGTACCATTTACACGATTGATTGCTTCGTCTCGACTTATAACACGATGATTGTTTATTTTAATAATTTGATCACCACTTCGAAGTTCACCCTGATGACCTGCTATACTCTCTTTATCAACGTATTCATTATTATATGAGAATATATGTATGAAAAATGATTCGTTTTTTCTTTACTTGTTGAATATAAATATTAGTAGTTGATTTTGATGTTATACCATAACAAAGAGTTAAACCTAATCTTTCATTTGGATGATTTCGATGAAAAATTATATTCTAAAATTCACATAGAATTTATTTACATAAAAAAATCGATCAATTCATTGTTTAGATCATCATTTTTCGGTCTCAAGAGTAATAACAAGGTCATCATATTAACTATTCCAATGCGTGAAAACAATAAAAAAAGTCAGCAGGTGATCTTTTTTCTCATTTGATTAGTTATCGAACAAAAAAAAAAGTGTCTCAACTAGCGGCGTAACCAGGATTTTGGCGGTGGTAGGGCTCAGGTTACTGAAGTCTGTGAGGTGGTAGGGCTCAGGTTACTGAAGTCTGTGAAGTGGTAGGGCTCATGAAAGGATTTAACTGACGATGCTAACCCTGGTGGTAGGGCTGAGCCCCCCTGGCCCTACCCTGGTTACGCCACTAGTCTCAACCTTACTTTTATTAAAATTTCATTATTTAATACAGATGATGATTGTTGTTATAAATGACGATCAATAAATGAATTTAATGAAGATTCATGAGAATATTTATTGTTATTTATTATACTAAAATAAATCAAATGTTTGGATACGTTCTTTTATTAACAAAAAGAACAAAAAGGAAAAGGTAAAGAATAATTTAAAGGGAAATATCTTTGTCTGATAAATATTGACGACGTAATTATTGATATTCATCATAGAAAATGTCAAATCTCTGTGGGAATATAAACAACTATTCATTTTAGACAAAAAGAAGATAACAAACAGATGTAAGAAATAAAAGTATGACTTTATAGATTTCTATCAAGGAGGAAACGGTGGATTTCGTACTCTGGGATTTTTGGGATTATTATGAGATTTTCGGGATTATCACCGTTCTCCTGGGATTATCATCGTACTCCGAACCCTGATCATTTTATGTCCTTGATTTATAGTTTTTCTTCGAAGCTCCGTATGGTATTCTCAAGCGTCCGGCAGTTGTGCGAGAGATCCAGTTCTTCCCATAAGAGTTATTCCATAGCTTTCAAAGGCTACCAACCGGAAGTGTATCTTCTCATTTGAGAACATGAATATAATTCAAAAAATGAAAACTATTTAAATCAGTTTTAATCATATTTTGAATTTGAATGAATTAATTAGAAAATGACTAAATTTAAAAATTTTATTTATAAAAATTGCTTTGAAGAAAAGATTACATAATTCAAACTGAATTTTTCAAAACTTGTAGTTTCTTCATTCTCTCATAAAATTCCGATTTATTTAAATTTACGAATTTATCATTCAAAATAAAATTCAAAATTCGTAAA